GGCACTTCCAGCAGCTCCACAGGACTCACAGCTCCAGCTGTTCCCATCCCTGTCCCTCTCAGTGACTTTTCCCGGGATTGGGACACCTGAGGCTCTCTGGGCTGGAGAAGCTTCACCCTCTCCCCATCTGCCAGGCTGTGCTGCTTTGGGGCCACAGCAGCAGATGGGATTCACCCCACACAAACACTGTGTTTGTGAGGTTTGGAAGTCAGAGTTGCAGTTTGAAGGAAAGGATCTAATAAATGCAACGAGTTCAGAAAAATTGGTTTAAAACCACAGAGTCAGAGCACGACGTGTGGGTGTCCCAGCACAGGCCAGCAGCGCTGCCTGCAGTGATCCTGCTGGTCTGGTGTCCAGCAGTGATGGGTGGGTCCCAAATCCCCAAATTTGCGATTCCATCCCCTAAAGTCCAGGCTGGAATGTCCAGAACCTCCCCCAGGGCCAGGAGTTTCACCGTGGGGTAATGAAATCCCGGGAGGTTTTCCCGGAGCCCCTGAAGGTTTTTCTGCTGGATCACTGAGCTCCTGGGGGCCCAAGATGAGCCCTCAGGGTGGGTGGTGGTGCTGCTGCCCCAGAGGGAGTTCTGAGCCTGTCCCACCCATCCTAGGAGCTCTTCAGAAGGTGCTGGAGATGTGAAGATCCATCAGTTACACCCAGGGACATTTCCCCCCAAACCAGGAGCCAACCCCAGATTTTTTTCCCCCACATTGTCCCATCCTCGTTGTGCACAGGAGGCTGAACTGGGCTGGAAATGAGGATAATTAGGAGCAACTCTATTTCAAGAACAAACACAAGCTCATCAGCAGGGTGGCTGGAGGGGAGGATAACGAGGAGGACAGAGCAGCCCTGGCTCCACCAGGGAATGGTTGGGATCCCCCAGAATCCAGAACTGGATCTGCTCCCCTCCTGCTCAATCTATTTTGTTCTTTAGGAACACCAGGAACTCCTGCAGGGCCGTGAAGAACCTCAGCAGGACATCCTTGGGGAATGAAATTGTTATGAATACGTGTGATTCTGCTTCTGCTTCTTCTGCTTCTTCTGC